TTCATGGTCATAGCTGTGATAAAATCATACATAAAGAATATGATCTAACAAGGATACACACTTTGTGAATGAGCAAGGACAGCAGATTAATAAGCAGAAACCGATGAAAAGTAACCTTTCACAGACACGCTAATTTCAACAAATGTAAGCTTGTCTTGTGATTTCATGACTTTGGAAGATTTTCAACGCTTATCCCACAAATAGACCATTTTCCGTACACTGCGAGAATCACGCGTTATGCGTGAAATCGAACGTAAAAACAGGACAAACAAAGGTCATAGCGTCGTAGTTGCGTCAAACATCGCGTGGGATTCGACAAACGCGAAAGTATTTCGGGGACATTTCCATGCTTAATAATGTGCTGTCCACATTTGATGATAGGCAATTTCGATTAAGTAAGGGTATTCGGAAGCAATATTCCTCTGTCGAAGATCGGCCGGTCAATGTAAGCTACGAAATAAAGAAATTCTAGTTCAAAATCAAATCGTTCGATTTTTGCGGCAGACGTTCGACGCGCGTCTTTCATGCATCTCGCGAGATCTCGCAATTGTACGGAAAATCATCTATTCACATATATTATCGGCTCTACTTACAAGAAGAGTTGCAAAACAAAGTCTGTGGTGTCTGAGGGGTATTTCATGTAGGCAGTGTTTATGTTGTTGTATTTTCGATAAGCAAGAAAATGTTGATGTCTGAATGAAATTTTTGTGGTGTAATAAAGCTTGGTACCTTGAATGTTTCACTATTTGGTCGTTCAAAAAAAAATGTTGTTTGAAAAATGAGGTATGTAGGTATGTTACTTCCTAAAAGTATGACAAAAAAGACAGTTTATTATCAGGGGGTTTTCTAAAGCGGGGTAACAGGAGCACAGCTCGCTTACTGAATTACCAATTGAACTTTCAAGTCATAAATATATTTCTTTCTCAAATATATTTTTTCCATGAAAACTTTCCAGCAACACCAGCTGACAATGTGTCTAGACACAAAATACACTAAAATTACTCCAAAAATATTTTAATGGCAATAGATACATCGTTAAAACGGAGCAGAAACCTTCCGATATGGCGTCGCTCCGCTCCCTCGCCTGTGTGTGCTCCCTCTTGTTCATTTTTTCTAGAAAAACCCCTGATTATTATTCAATAATTTGTATAAACTTCCAGTGAAATACAACACTGAAAGCCAATAAAGCCAAACGTAGTGTAGAATGTATAGGAAAAAATTAGCATTTCTGTCTTGTAATCTGCAAGGCTAATTACATATGACATCCCTAACAAATTTAAAGTTATATACATATAAGAAAGAAAGAGATATCTACAGCTGCCAACATTTGGAGAAAACACAGCTTATGTCCCTTTAACCATTTGAAACCCTACATTACAATACATATCAACCACATATTTGAATATTTCTAAAAACTTACATTTCCATTTCTTGTACTCTTCCTCCACGCTTTTCTTCATTGCGGCTCTATTTTCTTGAGTGGCAGGATTCTGTCTGAAGAACTGTTGTAATGGGGCTGGGAAGCATGATAGTGTGTGACTTGCCCAGTTATGAGGTGTGTTGTGTATAAGAGTAGTTAAGATATCTTTGCACCAGTTTCCTGAAAAAATACCAAAACCTAAATTAAGAGGAAACAGAAAACATGGAAAAAAAGAAAAGAAAAAAAATGTTACCTCTTCTATATAAATATATAACATATATAGTGCTTTTCCCATTATTCACCTTTTCTATAATCCAACATTCTCTCATTTATAATCTTTGCCAGTCTGGCAATATGCACTGGTCTACATTTGTTTTTTGTTCTGAATATGTTTCATACAGTGAAACACAGTATATTGTGCACATTCCAAATACTAAAAGCACATTTTTTCTTCAATAAAAACTAAGGCAATATAATGTATTATATTTCAAATTTAGTAAATATTTAATAAAACAACATTGATACTAAAGCTTGTGTGTGCAATATACATGTATCACAATATTACATATCTAGCACCAAAAACAACAAAATTTAACAGGGACTTATGGATTGACCTCTGTGCTTCCGTGTGTCCATGCATCCATGCATCTGTGTGCGTGTTTGGACCTGTATCTTACCTAGACATACCTAGACCGATTACATTCAAACTTCACACATACATCATACATTATATTATACATATGCACATCAATTTATTTCTCAATCTGATTCAAGATGGCTGAATGGCGGCCATTTTTGTGCAGAAAAATTATCAAAATCAAGAATTAGGGAAGGATTTTATTCAAACTTGGTACATACGTTGGACATTATGCGTCCTTGATGCATGTCATTTTATTTTTGAAATCGGATTCAAAATGGCTGACTTGGTGGCCATTTTGTTTTAATGTATGCGGTTCTAGAGCCATATTTCTGACATGATTTGACTGATTATTTCCAATTTTACATATTCACTATACATATGTTAGATATACAGATGTATTCAAAATGGCCGACCAGTGGCCATTTTGTTTTAATTAATGCTGTTCCAGAGCAATATCTCCCAATATGGACAAGTACTCGTTTGACGATCAGAAACAAGTTTACTGAATGTCAATCATTTCAATATTAAAAAATCATCATAATCAAGCATCAGCCCTTTGATCCATATCTCTGACATGTTTATGTTCCAACTATATTACTATAAACAAAACTATATATCTTAACTTTGATAACTAACGGGGACTGTGCCATGCACGGCTTGTTTTATTTATATTGGATGCAAAATCACTATATCATGTGATGGAAATAGAATCCCTCCACTGAATACAATCGTTTAAACAAAGCAACATGCTTGAATAATATTTTTAGCTATTTTTAATAGTTATTTAGGACTACGATTACCAAATATTATCTTCTATATACAGTACAGTTCTCGCGGAAGCTTTGGCTTTTGTGGCATCATTGTCGCATACGCATGGCTTCATTGTCGCCTCAGCATCGTCTCAGCATCGCCTCAGCATCGCATCATTGTGGCATCAGCTTCGCGTCATTGAAAATTGAAGCCGTGTTCGCCTCTCTTATTTTGTGGCATCATCGTGGCCTCAGCTTCGCAGTTTCATGGCATCAACATGGCATCAGCTTCAAAGTATTGTGACATGAGTATGACCTCATTATTTTCACATGGAAAGGCAGTAGAGAAAAAACACATGTACAGAAGTTCGATATGTAATCGAATTGAAATTCAAAGCGGTAAGGGGAATAAAATAATATGACCAAGAGTAAAATGACATTTTAAAAAGATATCTTGTTTAATTATTTAATGTTGCGAGTATAATTGGGTACCAAAAACTATGTGAAGTACATTGCAATCTGCAAGGTGACGAGTGTCATATTGACTGCAAGGAAAAACGTGATAAATTTAAATCACACCATGCAATCGTCGTTTGGAAACAACACAATTTGCTATACGTAATGAAACTGTTCTTGTTATAAAATTACCTTATTTTCGTTCATTTTATTTGCTGGTAAGAGAACAGATTCAGATTTCTCATTTTGGTGGTATTTTTCTGTGTTTCGTTTAGTTTTATCCGAGTCCGATCCCATGCCCGGACTACTAATACATGCAAAACACGCGAACGCCACCTGGCGTTGTCGCCTGCCATCTTGATACAAAGTTCCAAAACAACAAGTGCGTACATTTACAACTATGATTGGATGGTTGTGGTGGCGTCGGTCTGGTAAAATTTTACATCCAATTTTCAAAATTAAGTCACGATCAGTGACCTGAGCTCGATCTATACGTACTTTAAAAGTATCCTCACAAAAAATATTTTCAAATAAAAATGAGCCACAGGCCTGGTAAAAAATCGAATAGCACTTGACGTGCAGACTGAAATAATTTATTGGGCTTCAGAAAAAAAGTGTTCATTTAGTTCTAGCCATAAATATTTGGTGACCATTCGATGAACAATTTGAAACTCATTATACACATGGAACTTGAAGTCCTTCGATACTGAATATCATCGACCCCAGTCTGGTTTACCTTATTTCCCAACTTGCAAAACTGATTTGTATCTCAGCCCAGTTTTTCTTTTTTCTTTTTTTGAACTGAGGTCAAATCCCAGCCGTTTGTCAAAATATACCGATGTTTTTCAGTGAATGATTGTGAAGCCTGTCACAGCACAGTGAATCGACGCCGGAGATTGGACAGTACGACGATCCTTCAATTAGCGTCAAATATGCTTTGTTACACATCATTGATT